TGTGTGTGTGTGTGTGTCTGTGTGTGTCAGCAAAAAGCGAGACAAGCCGGCTGTTAAACACAAACACAGACATTAGAGTTGATTCAGTGTCCGGTGGATTAACCCTCTCTTACCATCTCTGTCTCTCTCAGGCTTCGGAGGCAATGGAGGATTGTGTGCAGGGGGCGCTCTCGTCACTTTATCCTCCCTTTGAGAGCACGGCGCCGCCCCTCCTCTCCCAGGTAGACGACCCAAACGCACACCTTCACTCCGATCCACGTGTTTGCAGTGGAGCTGGATGTAAATAATGCAGATTCAGTAACACCAACAAAATGCAGCCGGCCGGTCAACAGCAGCGAAAGCGAGCAGTAGCGCCCTCTGCAGCCACACATGGTCATTCATTCTGCGATTTAAGAAATGATATGTAACGATTCTTCGTTTAAACGTCTAAATATATTGTAGTTGATGTGTGTGTTTACATTAAACACATTTACATTTTCAAACCCAGAGTAATCCACAATCTGAGCTGGAAACAAACGCTGCTCTGAGTTCATGAAGCCTCATATCGTCAAGATGAAGGAGTTTCACAAAGCTGCAGCGACGTGTAAAATTCATAGACTTCTGTTCTGTGCATCATCATCTAATGCAGTTTCTCGTGTGTTTTTTTGTTTCTGCATGTTCGTCCAGGTCTTCTCCGTCCTGGAGTCGACTTATCAACACGACAGTCTTCGCTACCTCCTGGACTACTTTGTTCCTGCCAAACACCTCCTGCACAAACTGCAGCAGCACGCCTGTGTGAGTTCCAAACGGGAAACACGCCGCGCACACGGAACACACACACGGAACACACACACAGCTGCATAATCAGAAACAGAGTCACCCGTCAGATGTGTAAAGCGTGTGAGAAATGTGTCAGCTGTCAGCGTTTTGTGATTCCTCTGGTGAGCATGAGTTGTGGTGAAAAATCTCGAGAGTCAAAGAAGACGAGTCTTAAGTCTCTGAGTGTAAATCTTCTACGGCAAGTCATTTGGGACAAGTCCAGGTCTGAGTATCCATCTGGCCGGGAGTCCTCTCACGTCATTACAAGTCTTTAGGTCTCAGAGCTGGTTTTACCTATAAAGCTGAATTCATTGTGTTTTTACAGATTAGAGTCATTTCAAAGAGTGTGTCCTATTTGTCTTATTCACTTTTTATCACCTCCAACAGGAGGTTGTGTTGTTGCTCCTCTCCGGTCGTTGTTTTAATGAACAGAATTTTCTCATCACTTTCTTTAACAATGTAAGATAAGTTGTTTTTTTTTACATTTTTCACAAAATTCCCAGGGAACAATGTGTGTGAAGCTTTTTATAATTTCAGAGTTATGCATTTTAGTGCTCTTCAAGTTATTCTACCAATTTAGAATTTACTTATTTTTGCTTTCAAGTATTACCTGAACTTTCTAATTTGTCAAATCTCTCAACAACAGTCCGTCTTGGATCCAAGCGTCAGGTCAGTAAGCTGGTGCCTGGTCACATGAAGACTCCCGTGCAAAGGGAAAGTTCAAGGCCTCCATAATATGACACGAGTGACCCCAGAGCACTAAACTGCACTGTGGAGGGTCGAGTCCGCTCTAAAAGTGTAGCCGGCCGGTAAAATTAGTGAAAGTAGCTGGTGAAATATGAGACTCAGCCGCCGGCAGACAAAAGAGGTGGTTTCCTGCCTCAGAGGCTGCAGCGAGTCGACAGATGAAAGAAATACAGAGAAATGAAAAAAGTTCTGGCTCCTGTATTCAGATTATATAGGAAACACAACGAGCAGCCTCCAGGAAGTGTGTTGGGATTTTTAGGATTTCACTGAACACACACACAGATGCACAGACCTTCTCAAAAAACCCTCTGCAGCTTCCACAGAATTACAGACGTGCACAAGCATCGTGAGCCAACTTTGTTTTCATTGTCGCCGAGCGGAGCAGCCTGGGACGACCGTTAGCCTGCGTGAGTCATGACAGTAATTCCTTCCATATGTGTGCGTGTTGCTGCTGCGGAGAGAGAGAAAGAATGAGTAACAGAGCAGCAGTGGGAGTCGAGGGAGAGAATGAACATGGCTTTCATTCACTGTGTGGACGTGCACGCGCATGCCTGCAAAAAACACAAGATGCTGGAGGTTGTGCAGATTATAGTGGACTGATTGAGGAATTTTTTCGAGAAATGGGAGGTGGCGGGGGAGACGGAGCAAACACTGGGGTACATTGAGGGAGAAGCAGGCGAGAGGGAGGAGGACACAGGGAGTCACAGAATGTCTCAGACAAACTTTTTAAGAGAGGAAAAGTCACACATGCTTTCAAATGCTTATAGTCGCCCCGACAGATATCAAGAGTTTTTCTGAAAGTGGCTCAGGAGGGAGAGCGTAAGAGAGATTGAATAAAGGGCAGAGCGGTAGAGAAAGCAAGATGGAGGAGAGGTCGAGCAAAGAATATAATTTGATCAGGTCTCATGAGTCTGGAGGGCAGGGAGGGGGGAGGGAGCAGCCCCGTGTCAGTCCATTATATGAGACTGGGAACAGCAGCGAGGCTCTGGATGAGGTTTGTACCTCAGACTGAGGGAGACGGGATTTAGATCTGACACGGCCTCGATTCAGGAGGGAGCAGAGTTTGGATTTAGGTGGTTTGTCTTGTTAGAGCACGGGGCCGTCACCTCAACTCAGAGTTCTTGAGTTTTTCTGATTTGTTGTGGTATTTTCTATATTTAGACCCATGTTGTTTTGTTGACTTTCAGTGTGTTTTCCTCTCGTGGAGCGGTGGAACGTCGGGCTGGTCGTCCGCATGTTTCTGACTCACGCTGACTCTGCAGCCATCCAGAGTCTTCTCACCCCGTCATGCTAGCTAAGCGCTTTTTTACGCTTTGAAAACACTGCGTGAGTCACATGCCTGACTTTGCTGTGGGGCGCGGGCTTTGTGCCAGTCGAGCTTCTGAATAGCGTCAGTGCAGCGTTGGTTCTAGAAATTAAACTCGTCTGAGTAGCTCAGCTGAGCACGACCGCGCCGAGTTCCAGCTGGTTCGTGTGGGCTGAGGTTTGCAAATGGGAGAGAGAGATTGTGCAGGAGCGTTAAATAGAGTTTGATGAGATTCGTAAAGGGCGGTGAGTGACATCACTGGGACGCCACCAAAAGAGCTACAGAGAGAAAACGTAACTCTACGCTGATGAAGGTTTAACACTTTGAATGTGTAACTCACGCTCTGCTTCTGTGTTTCCTCTCAGTCTCAGTACCTCGGCTGCTTGTTCCTTCACTCCGGCTGGCCTCTGTGTCTGGGCGAGAAAGTGGTCGTCCAACTCTCCACCTTGGACTGGAGGCTCCTGCGCAGTAATGACTTCTACCTGCAGGTGGTGCCCTTCTCCACGCGCTGCCCCCGACTGGCTCTGAAATGTCTGGCCCCTGGGGGGCGCACTGTTCAAGAAATCTTGGTGCCCGAGTCACAGCACCCCCTTGTGTTCACCTCTGAGTGGCTGCACAGTATCAACAAAGAACGAGGCCACAAGAGGGAAGGTAAGAATGTGTTGCTATTTTAATCTGAGTATAATTAAAATCTAAGTTTATGAGTAATGAACACCTTCAGTGAACTTACTCTTCTTCTATTCTCATAGTTGGAGGGGGACTGGACACCTGCCTGGTCAGCACATGTGATGGTGTGGTTCGACTTCCGTGGAAGGAGGTTGTCTACCCAAAATTCATCCACGACCCTTCGGAGGAGCTTGGCTTGATGTCTAACTACGAGGGCTCCATATCCGGCCGCTTGCCCAGTGAGGGGGGCAGCAGCAGCCTCGGGGGCTGGGGTGGCTCATCCTCTGGAGAACTGGACTCCTGGTCCTGGGACGAGGAGGAAGAGGATTTACCACCGGATGGCCTGGACTCTGAGTCAGCGCTCCCCCGGCGAAGGCGCAGTGAAGATGGGCTTGGGCGGACAGCCAGGCACCCTCAGCTTGACGGGGACTATGTGGAGCTGTTGGAGCCCAGAGGGGGTCCCGACGGAGGGGTCGACCCAAGGCAAAGGTACTTGGAGATGCATGGGATCTCTAAGACCAAGACGTTGCCTCTGTGTAGGAGAAGTAAGGCCATCAAACTCAGAAAGGGCAGAGCTTGGGGATACGGGAGGGTGGAAAGGTCAGGAAGCCTTCGGGCTGTCCTTGGTGCCAAAGGAGACACATTACAGCCTCAGCCTCCTCCAGGAGTCGCTGAACCTTGCAGAGGGAGGCGGGCTTATACGTCCTCTGTCCTAGACTCTGACGAAGGAGATAAAACAAGCAGGGACTCAGGGGGTGTAGGAAGCGGCCAGCTTTATTTTGATGGCCCATCCAAGGAGAGGAGGCCAGGCGTTGGCAAGGAGAGAGATAGCAACGGCCTCATGCAGCCGTGCAGAGATGACCACCGAAGTAAAGACTCAGAGAGTGGGGACAGTTTAGTCACAAACGAAGTCAATACGTTGACGAACCGCAAAGTGGAGAATGTCGTAGAGGGCCACTCAGATCACGGATCGCATTCAGACTCAGTCTTTGAGGATACCGATAAACCGCTGAGTGGTGACAGTGATGCCACGACGCCAACATCCGATGCACCAGAGAGACCATTCACCGGTGTTTCAGAAAATGGAGAAATCACCAACAGTGGGTCCAGAACTTCGAGCTCGTCTAAGCCAAAGGTGGCAGAGGAACGAGGTGAAGGAAAGACGGAAGACAGGATGTGTCCCAGAGGAAAGGAAGTTAAAACTGCAGGATTCAGAGCACCAAGGTACTGGTTTGTTTCTTATGATACACTGCAGTCATTCATCTTATTTCTTTTTCTTTTTCACACGTCCATATGAAAGTGCAGATGGGTAACACATAGGTGCAGCCTCCGTGCACAAGGTACAGATTGTCTGAACTTATATACAGGCCTGAAGCAGATTATACAAAAGACACCTCACTCTGAAGAACATTATATCCGAAGAGCGTAATTATTAACTTTCTATTAAACGTCTTCAGGAGGAAAAGGAAGGGAAAGGGGGCCAAAGGAAGAGCCCGGTCTGGTGGTCGTGCGCACCACAAGGTCTCGAAGCTGCAGGGTAAAGCTCCTCAGTCAGGTCCGACCTCCTGCTCAACAAAGCTGCCGGTCACAGAAGAGAACCCGTCGGAACAAACAGAGCAAGCCGACGAACCCGACGCGGTGCCCACTACAACTAAAGAGGCCATCAACGAGAACACCAAGAAAAGCGACGCAGGTCTGGAGGAAATAGTTTTTCCACCAGCATCAGATTCTAAATGTTCCACGATGCATCTTGAATATTCTCTTTTTTTTTTTTCTCTCAACAGAGACGGAAGCTGAAACTCTGTCTGTCTGTAACGGACAATCTGGCACATCCTTATTTCACCACTCTAATGAAGAGCCTCAGTCGGCAGAGACATGTCCAGACCAACTGAACGGCACTTTGTTTAAAGAGCCTCCACTGCTCAGGGAACTGAACGCAGAACTTCTCCAGTCGGGGAAGCTGAAGTTGACAGGCAGGTTTCTTTCATGTGTGTGACGGAGACTCGGCTCAGACGTCTTCTGCTTAGTTTGTCTTCACGTTGTTGTTTTTTTTTCTGCTGTTTATTGTTTAACAAAATATTTGGTCAAAAATTGCAATGTTTCTCCAGAATCATACGACGAATCTGAACATACAAACATGATCCACATACATGTTCCATAAATCTGCATCCACCACACACTGTATATAATGATGCTGAACATGGAGGAGGCGGGGTTTATGACTTTTAGTGAAGTCAGCCACCAGGGGGCTGTCACGGCGTCCATCTTTATATACAGTCTACAGCGTTCACCTTCAAACATCTTAAAATATGATTACAGTTACAGCAAATGATTCCTTTCTCCCACTCGACGCTAACTCTGGTGCTTGCGGGCAACAGGTACTGTGGACAGGTTGGGACGTGCTCTGGTTGTCACGGAGACGGACGCCTCAGAAGAGGGTTTCTGTGAGGACGAGACGGTTCGGGTCCTGGCCTGCTACCATAGAATCACCCGGTAATACTGCGTTCTACCAAGTTTACACGTATAATTAGAGGATGAGGGCTTGTAAGTGTAGATCACGTCACAGTGAACATTACTCATTAAATCCATGTTGTTTCATTTGTTTCTTGTCAAACTGCTCATTTAAAAACATGTTCAGTGAACAAAGTGCTCTGTGATTATATTTGTCTTGACTTGCATGATGCTGACTTTGCCAAATACAAAGGTGAGGTTAGCGAAACATAACGTGCGCCAGAAAAATAACATTTAATGATATAAAATATAGACGACAGTGTTTTTGCAATTTAAAAATGGTTGAATCGTAGGATCATCTTTGTATTTTTAATCATCTTTATTTATTTAAAGCAACACTAATGTTTTAATGACTCAACTGACCCCCTGCCTCTCTCCGTCTGTCCGTCCTCATCAGGCCTGCAGCCAAAGACAAAGGTCTCACGGTGTTAATGGACAGCAGACGCTCTCCACCCTCCGCCCGCTGCTTCTCTGCACTTCAAAAGTTCCAGGTGAGAGGAAAACAATAGAAGTCGAACCAAATGTGCTTCATGTTTGCTTGTGTGCTTTTAATTTGCCTGCAGATGTGATGAAGTAGCTCGAGCGCATGTGTTTCTGTGCGTGTTCCAGCTGCTGGTCCCTGGCGGTCTGGGATCTGTTCTGGTTTTGCTGGAGGAGCAGCAGGAGTCCCTCGCTCATAATGTGGACGGAGCAGAGGTGAGCTCGTGCAAATCACATGTTTACAGTTCAAGGACCGAAAGTGCAAACGTTGTAATTTTCTTTTAGTTCAGTTTGGTCTCATGAGCAAAAATAAAGTGGAAATAACATTTCACAAATCCTCTTGTGTTTGTGTCGGCTGTTGAAAACTTGATGATCATCAGATGCTCGTATCTGAAGCTTGATTTCCGTACGTTTGGCAGAAGTAGAATTCTCAAATAACTCCCATGTTACCGGTAATTCAGCTCGTTGCTTTTGCACTGATCTGCAGAGATGCTCCTCGCACACAGGCATGAGAAAATTCCTCTCGCCATGTGGTTTGTATTTCAACCTGGCGCCGTAAAACATTTGCATGTTAAAGAGGAATCCCGCCCAAAAGATGTTCACACCGAGCTGTGGTACTTCTTTTTTATCCCTGCGGATGAATGGACGGATGGAGACAGAATTGAAAAAGGAGAACATGAGTTTTCTTCAGAATAAAAAAAGATGAAATTATTTAGGCTGCCAGAAGCAAGAAGGACGTGTTTGTGTCTCGAGCCAACTGTGGGACACACTATCAGCCTTGTGAGGACAAAAGTTTACACTCTGAAGGATAAACTTTCCTCTGTTGACTTATTGTGTCATTTCCTGTCCGGTGTGTTTAGATCCACATGGTGCAGGGAACCGGGGTCCTTCAGCAGTTTGTGGACAAGCAGCAGCTGCTCACAGAGATGGACGGAGACTTTGTCCACTGTCACTCAGACTGGCTCGCATTCAGACTGGTGAGAACCCGATGTTTCTTCCTCTGTGTAAAAATGTAGATTCCTTCCTTCCTCCCGTGTCTCTGCGTGGGGACAGAAAGTGGAGCTGGGTTGTTGTGATGGTTCATACGGACTGTACGTCCATCCCACTGTTGTGAACATGATATCTCAAGAACGCCGTGAGGGAATTTCTTCAAACTGGGTAGAAACGTTAATGTGGACTCACGAACGAGCTGAGGAGAGTTTGGTGGTCAGAGGTCAAAGGTCAAGGTCAGGGTGGCCTCACAAATCACTTTTTTTGCATCGTGAAAGTGATATATTTTCATATTTGGCACAAATATTCACTCAGGCTCCTGGATTGTCGATCCATTCATCCCGTTCTTGTGAGCACGATATCTCATGGAAGCCTTCAGTAAATTCCTTCAAACGTTCGATCAGAAACAATCTGATTAGATTAGGATGGTCAAAGTTCAAAGGTCACAGTGACCTCATATCAGTGTGTACTGCGGGGCGGTAACTCTACTTTCGTCCAACTTTCCTCATCCACAGTTTTCTTTCTAATTTTCAAGGTGGATCTACTTGAAGCAGCCAGATTTACTGACTGGAGCGTTTGGTGAAATGGTCTTTGGGGGAAATTGAGCAGGAAATTATAACTTGAGAGTTTTCAGGTTGACTGGAATCTGTGCTTTTGCTAAATTAATCAGATTTATTGGTTTAAATTACATTTAAACTGTTCCGTCACAGAGTTCCTGCAGTTTTTTTTCCAAATATCTAGATTGAAATGTAGCTTTAAAATATATAATAGGCTGAACCTGGAGAATTTTTCTCTTTTGAAATTTGTTGTTGACAGAAATAAATCTGGAAATCTTTTTATTCGAAGCGACAGGATCAGTTTTTGGGGGAAAACAACTCAGTTTTTTCTTTTGCGTACGTCAAAAATATAAAGTCTCACCACCGATAGCGAGGGTGTGGAGTGGGAGAAGTGTAGAGAGCAGGACGGGCAGATGAGAGGAGGCCGGCTGGAGAGAGCAGATGTCCGGCGGTGGTCGGTCTTGTGAAGAGGACAAATCTAGGAAAGATGAAAAAAAAAAGACATTTAAAGACGCTTGATGGGTTTTTCCCAGACAGTTTATGTTGCGTTATCCAAACAGATCGAAACATGTTCCTGTCCTCTGCACTTTCTTTGACCTCTCTCATGGACTCCGATGAGCGAGTTCGTACTTTATACTTGCTTTTCTTACGGTTTGTGTAAAACTTTTGATCCCTCTTGTACTTTTTTCCCCGTCAGAGCCTGGAGAGTCTGACAGAGCGTTGTGAGAGCGCCCTCATGCTGCTGGGAGAAGCACTGCAGTCGATGGACACTGAGCCACTGCCAGACAACATCAAGGTGTTTTTTCATTCTGTTATTTCTTTACTCTGGTTCGATGCTTCGGACGAGGGCGGAATGTGTTGCTGAAATATTCAGGAGGGGCTGAGAGAGAACACGATGTCGGGGTCAGGCACTCCGGATATTTTCAGGAACTTATACGTGACGTTGCGGCCGCTGCTGCTCTACACACCCGAACGCTCTGGACACGTTCCTGTTGTTGTGAACGAGTCGGACGATCTGCAGCTTCACATTAGAGACATTCACAAATTTAATGTCACTGGAGAAACCTCTCAGAATCATAGTCTTGTTTTTCTCCAGGCGGTTCCTCTGAGCATCGACAAACACCGACAGCTGATGGCGAGCGTCCTGGCCGACCAACGCTTGACTGAGCTGCAGCAAAGGGGCGGGGCCTGGCTCGCTGGACTGACCAATAGCACATCTGGACTAGCACAGAAGTCGCCAGACTGCAGGTACTTTATTTATGTGCTCCTGCATTTACTTGAAGAATAAAAGGCTATTTTTACTATTAAGCTATTATTACTCACGGCTGCACTGAACTTTGTTTAAAGAAGCCGTGACAACAGAACAACAGCAATCAGACAAATACTCACACGTGCACAAACCAACACACACGAGCAGCCTGGTCTCGAGGGGCAGAGGAAGGATCTGCATCTCTTTTCTTTTTCAAAGTCATTATTTTGTGGAGATGAGTTATAGGATAAAAATATTCCTCATCTGGAAAACAAAGTTGTTTGTTTTTAGCCCAAAGAATGAATCCCAGCTGGAGGAGGGAACAGAGAGGGAGGACCGAGCGCTGCAGCGCGTGTTTGTGACCGATTTACAGCTCGAACAGGATCTAAACTCTGTTGTATCTGCGGCGGTTCCTCCTCTGCTGTAATGAGTTTTGGCTCAGTCTGCGCAAGAATGAGGCCAAAGACAAGTGAAGGCTCGTCGCTGATTTGATTCCTTCTTCTTCTCTGACAGCTGCTCTGCAAGGCTTCTGCTTTTCCTCTTAATTAAATCTTCCTCACGAGCCAGAATGTGAGATTTTGGCCGACGCCTCACAGTCAATCTGATTTTAAAAGAGAAAACAAGACAAAAGATTCTTCTCTTACCTGCTAACTTTTAATTCTCGTCCTCTCAGGGCTGCTCTCGCCGCCACCTCCAAACTCTACGACAGCGTGGACGACGCCCTCCACGGGCTCGTCCGAGTGTCCAACCAGAGAGGTCGCGACCTGGAGGCTCTGGGACGACTGGCGGGGCTGGCAGACAAACTGGAAAAGGTGTGTGAGGAAGGAAATGGACGAGTGGTTTTACTCTCAACTGGAATAAACAGTTCCCTTATGAAACCACATTTAGATTCTTCTCATCCAGACCCATGAATCATTCTCTGAGAAATCACTGAAAGTTACCTCGAAGTTTTGTGGAAATCCGTCCAGTAGTTTTTGTGTAAACCTGCAAAACAACAAAGACACGTAGAAGAAAACTGCTCCCCGAGTAAGAACACGTCTCTGATCCATGTCTGCTTAAAAACCAAGCAACAGAGTGAAATTAAACTGCAGACAAAATAAATGCATTTCACCATTTTCTCTCTTTCACAATTCCTTGCTGTGTCGTCCCCCCCCCCCATGACTCCACAGTGCGATAAGGAGATTGAGCGAGTCCAGTCGCAGCTGGACGATTACAAGGACCCTCCTCTCTCCCTCAGCCGACTCTCCCTCAAACAGCAGAAGTTTAAGACCTTTCGAGAGACGGCGAACGTGAGTGTGATATTTCTCATTTTTCTACGTACGTGAGGAAAAGTTCAACACGTCAGCGGACGTGTTCTGAGGACACAGAGGTGCGTCTGTGTGCAGGCTGATGTGGACGCTGTGCGTCTCCGTTAGAATTATTCCAGTCATGATTTCCTCCAGGGCTTTTCCAGGCTCAGCCCTCACAGTGGATCTTCTTGAATCCTTCAGGAGCTGCACAGCGAGACTCTGTCCGTGCTCAGCGTCTTGGAGAGCTGGTGCGAGCTGGACTGGGCGGGTCTGAGCAACGTCCAGATCCGACTTCCTCCTGTGAGGGAGAAGCTGAGAGACATGTCCCACTGTCTGTCTGACTGCTGGACCACCCTGGACAATACGCAGAGGCTGCTGTCCACGCTGACCGAGGTAACGCAGCATCTGTCGCACACACGTTATCCAGAGGTCAAAGGTCACGATGATTTGAATCTGGAAGTATTTGGACTGTTTAGCGGAGACGTACAAACGCAGGGTGGTCACTTTAAGTCCCTCTCTCTTCTGTGCAGGCGACCCAGTGGTGCGATGCTGTCTCCTCCACCTCCTCCTCTTCGTCTCCTAACACCTGCCCGCTCGCCTCCCTCCCGCCCATCCCCCCGTCACGTTTCCAGGATGCCCGCTCCCTGGCTTTGGAGCTCGGGGGAGGGGCGCTGCTGGACTTCTGGACCCAGACAGTGGAGCGCTACCAGAGGACCGTGGCACAGGTCAAACCGCGGTTCCTCCAGTCGGACAGGGGCCAGAATCAGGGCCAGGGGAAGCTCAAGACGCCCTCGGCGAGCAGCCTGTGGGACCTGATGGGCCCCGAGGGAGAGGGCGACTGGGGGCTGGGGGCCGGAGGGAGCGAGGGGGGGCTGCAGTCCTGGGGATCTCTGGCGTCGCTGTTCAGGCCGCAGACTTGCTCCACACTGAAGATAGGAGAGGAGAGAGGGAATAAGAAAGACGGAGCAGGGGGAGGAAACGGAGGAGGAGGAGCTGGAGGAGGGAAGTTCCTGCAGAATCTTCTGAATCCTGGAAAGAAGAGCGTGAGTTACATCCGTTATTAAAATGTGTTTCTGTGATATATTCTGTTCTTCTTCAAATCATAATCAGAAACATTGAGTATTTTAAAACGGTTTAGTTCAGCTGCTGATGTCCGTCTCCGTTCAGCCCCCAGAGGCGCCGCTCCCTCCCAAACCCCCCAGAAAGCGCCACCCGAGCTTCGACCTCCAGGCGCTCCTCGCCCCCCGCCGAGGCACGGCCACCCCGAAACCTGCCGAGTCTCCGGTGAGCGGGTCGAGCCGCAGCTCCCCCATGTCCTGGCTGGGGAGACGGGCGTTCGCCGACCCGGTCATCACCACCGGCATGGCCGCGGCTATACCTGGATGGGGCGCCGGCGGAGCGGGAGGAGGGGTGTTGATTCGGGGAGTGGAGGTCAGCAGCAAGGAGGTGGTCGACCACACGGGGTCGCCCCGGCAACACGTGCTGCTGGGGAGGACGGAGAGGGAGACGGGGACAGACCGGACCGGCTCAACTCCTCAGAGGTGTCTTCTTTTTGTCTTTTTGTTGAAACGCCACGTCTCCTCTCACTCCCACTTTTGTTTGTCTCGTCCTCGTCTTCATCATGTCCTTGTCTCTCCTGTCCGTCCCTCAGTAAGCTCTACCTGCTGTGGTGCAGGATGCTGAGTTCGGAGAGGCAGTACGTGGCCGTGCTGAAGGGCGTGGAGGAGACGTACCTCCCTCTGCTGGAGCTCTCGGACACGCCGGCCTCCATCAGGGGGAAGGGGGACGCCCTCTTCCCCAACTGGGCGGGCCTCGGCTCCTTTCACTCGCAGAACCTTCTCCCTGCCATGGAGGGCGCTCTCGTGCAGAGCTTGTTGCAACAGGACTGCTTCAGCAAATACGTGAGTGCAGGAACGTTGTGTGGCTGCAAAGACACAGAACAGAACTTAGACTGTTGATAAAGATGGACGACATGACTGCTCGTCTCCATCGCCCCCCCCGGTGGCTAGCTGCATTATCGGTCCTCCTCCGTGTTAGCAGATGGGACAGGAACCAAACTTAAAAGTCAAAATACACATCAAGTTAATGTCTCTGTCACTTTCAGCAGTTCTTGGTTCCATTTCTGGAGAGAGGAGACGTGTCGTCCATCTTTATTCTATAGTGTAAAGAATCTTAAATCCACTTCAAACCAAGTGTCCACAGTCTTTCTCTCTCGTACTTGCAGCTTCGCAGACATTTTATAGAAGACAGAAGAAAATGTACTTTTATTTCCCTTAAAACAACAAATCAAATCTCCATCTTGATTTTTAATTGAACCTCTTGTCCAACACAGCGGGAGCAGTTTCTGCAATATTCTCACTACATCAGGACCAAACCAGAACTGGACTCTCAACTGGTCACACAGGCCGCGGACTTCTTCAAGGTACGAACCGTCGACTGTTGGAGTGAAACCTGCCTCGAGTTAAACCTTCAGCAGAAGAGTTTCATTATGACGACTCAATATTTTTAATTCTCTCTTTTATTGTGTTTTTTCATGTTTTACTGATTTAAAACAAAAAGTGCAGCGGACTCAAGTACAAATAAAGTAAATA